TCCGTGTCTAAGGAGGAGAGAAATATGAGTTATTGTGACAAAAGCAAAACATGAAACACTCAAGTGGAGCAGGCAGAAAAGAAAAGGCCTGGGTTGGGGCTGGGGACGATTCGTAAATGGAGAAGCTTAAATGTTTGGTTCCAGAAAGCCTGAAGCGGAGGGTGGCGGAGAGCAGTACTGATGATCTTCCTTCACTATCATCTTCTCTGCTTCACTTGTTTATCAGTTTGCCGCAATTTCATCATTTGATAGCAGAGTTGACAGCAGACCCCAAGACCCAGGCCGGTCTTTGTGGTAAGAACAAGGAGGCTGCTTTGGACTTGAAGCAAAAGGGAAATCAATGCTATTCCTCTGGAGATCACTCCCAGGCTTTGCGTTGCTATTCTCAGGTCTTTACTGCCTCTCAACTCTATTAATGAATTTCCATAAATAAAATCCAAAACTTTTCTTGCTGATGCTGCCCTCAACACATCAACTAACAGGCGCTTCGTCTTGCTCCCATTGACGCCCAAGACATTGGCAAAAATCTTGTTGCAACATTGTATTTAAATCGAGCTTCTTTATTTCACGTGAGTCTCTCTCTCACTTCTCACTGCTAAAGGCAAAATGATTCTTTCCCCAATGTTTAATTTTCCTAACATGTTTGTTTTCTACTGTATAGAAAATGGGCCTGTCAATGGAGTCTCTTCGAGATTGCAGCAGGGCTCTAGAAATTTCTCCTTCCTATCCAAAGGTATATATGATATGCTGCTTCCCAGACTCAGTTTCAAATACTTTGCAGTTATTAATTGCTGACATTAATTTAATTACCTATGGCCTTTTCATTCCTTCACTCTTCTTCACATTCAATCGCATTTTGCTTTCCAAAGTAGCACTGAACTTAGGGTTATGTGGTGACAGTGAATATCAAAATGTGAACAATGGGCTATGAGATTTTGTCAAAAAGAGACATAGGATAGAGGGGTGAAACACAAGATTTTTAAATTTGTGTAGAAGGGTTTATGCAACTTGGTTTGGCTTGTTTGATTTGAGACACAATTTATATCTCGTATTTTATGGAAATTTCTCCATCATTCATGGCATGGATGTAGCTTTCTTTGGTGCCAGAGTGCATATACCAGTTCTTTCCTTTCCTATTTTGATTGTTATTTGTTTCTTTTTTGTTCTTATTCCACCAAACTACTTAGCAGTTTCTGGTGGCAGTGACATAACTTTATTGTAGGCGTGGTATAGGAGAGGTAAGGTGAATGCTACTTTGGGGAATTATGAAGATGCGGTCCGTGACTTAACTGTTGCTAAGAATATGGAGCCATCACTAGGGGGAAAGAAACAGATAGAAAATGAACTGGATATTGAACTGGATATACTTGCACGGCATCATGAGAATAAAAGTGCTAAATCAGTTCACAAAAGCCAGAAAAGTGTAGGAATCCCAGGTAAGATGGTAGCCATTGCTCAGCACTTATATATCTCTGATTCCCTTTCTATTTTTTGTCAATAACCAATCCTTTTACTCTTTACATATTTTCCTTGTCTATGACCATTTTATTAAATTCTTTTTCAGCCGAAACTTAATATAAATCTCTGTGTAACATGAAGGACCTGACATTCTAAAATTTTCGTTTCTCCTGATGTGTGCCATAAAATATGTAGTATGAGTTGCCGAATCTACTTGTTTACTCTAAATCCTTGGATGGGTTCCACTAATCTTTTATTTTCTTCATCTTGTTTGTGTGAAGCAATCTAGGAACCCTGGGTGATATCCATAGGGATATTTTCTTCTCTTTTCCTCTTTTTTTTTTTTTAAATTTCCGAAGGATTTCAGATTGCAATTCAACTTTAAACCCTAGCTCTCCAAGATGTCCTACATCAGTTTGAGGCCGTCTACAAGGGTGCAAGGCAACACTTTAAGCTAATTGTGGGTCAAATATGGTTGAGAACTTAATTAAAAGGAAGAAGGAGATAAATTGCCAAATGTTTAGGCTTCTCTTCACTGACCTCTAAGAGTCATGCCAAAGAGGGGTGCCAGACAGTTAATTTATAATTATATTCCCTTTTGAGCACCCTTCTTTGTTCCGTCTTTCAATGCTAGATTGTTGGTATCGATGGACCCAGGATGAGTCTCCTTCTTTAAGATTTCATTTTTCCTCTTCATCTAATATAATAAAAATTTGCAACACGGTGCTTCATTTGTCTTCTTGTTAAAGCTTTTCTTCTCCATCACTGTGATAATTTATTAATTTATTTTTATGTATACATTCAGCTGTTTCTAAACGTGTAGGTATGAACTGGTTCTAATGTCTGTTGACATCCATTGTCAAAGGTGGCTGCATCATGCATATTTTACCTTCACATGTTGCCAAACATGTGGTATTCGATAGTACATTTTCTAGTTAAAACTGAAGTGTGATACTAATAACTTATCATTGAAAAGTTATAGAGAATATTGAAATACTTATACTTGTTTGTCATGATTGTTGCAATCCTTTGCAGAGAAGAATTATATTTGCTTATAAAATCAATAAACAGGTTATTACTGCCCGCAGACATTGTGTAGAGGCTTTGTAGATTGATAACTTTCATTAAGCATCAGAACTTTGTGATCTGCCTTGTAGTTACTTTAATGATTGTTTATCAATCTTTATTGCATTCTTGATTTTTTTGATATATAATTGTAGCACAAGGTGCTTTGTTTTTCCTTTTTCTTTTTTCTTTTTTTAAATTATTGATTTTTCAAATCATCTGTCAGATGTGCCACAACAAATAAAACTACACTGTGTCAAAACACCAGACAAAGGAAGGGGTATGGCTTCAAAATTTGACATTCCTCAAGCTTCCTTGATTCATATTGAAGAACCTTATGCTGTGGTATGAACATATTATATTTTTTGCTTTATATATTTTATTGTAGGTTTTATCATTTTATTTAAATGGTTTTAAATTTGAGTAGGCATTGCTTAATGAGTACTTAGAAACTTACTTCATGAAATATACTTATTTTTCTGTACAAATGCTTTGGTCCTGGGAAATATCATTTTTATAGTGTACGGTGTCCTCTTTGCATCTTTCACTTAGTAGAATAATATTGGATGGTATTTACCTCTTTTCTTGTGGTTTGAGCATTGCACTTTACTACCTTAAAGATTTAATTCATTAACTTTATTATCTAAGGTCATAACATGTTTACTTCAATGCGCTATTGTTTACCACATGAGCTTAGAGCATTAGTATACTTTACCTCCCCTTGATTCAATTCATTGTACTTTACCAAGCTCTAGCCATCCACATGAGGCACATAGGCAGATTTCCTATTCTCTTGATGTGAAACAGAAAATGGAATTAAAATGAGAGAGAATCCCACAGTTTTGTTCTTTTGTTTCTTTTCTTTGTGTATATTTGCTTGTCTTTCCATAAGTTACTTTTTTTGTGAAAAAGAGTTTAGGACTTAGAACGGAGGGAGGAAAATTAAACTGAAAGATTTAGGCCAACATTAGAGATACTGAGCGGTTCTTTCTTTTTGGTTTAAATGCGGGTGCGGTTTGTAGCAATGTATGAGGCTATACAATAACTTATGTCTTAAAAGTAATAAAAAAAATTACTATCTATGTACTTAACTTTAAGGTTTTCTCACTTCAGTTTGATTTAATATCTTGGTTCATTTGTACATCCCTCAGCCTCTCACTGTGGGAACTTCCAATTTTGCTAATAAGAAATATAACTTTTACCTGACCATACAATATGCAGGTCATTCTGAAGCACTGCAGGGAAACTCATTGCCATTATTGCTTGAATGAACTACCGGCAGATACAATCCCCTGTATTTCGTGTTCGTTGCCATTGTACTGTTCCCAGCATTGCCAAGTGCGAGCAGGTGGACAAATACATGTCAATTATTCAAGTAAAATTAACATACATGAAAAGAAGTCCAACTGTATGGAAGAGAATATTCCAGATATAACTGTAGGGAGTAATTCCTATCCCAAACTTGATTGCATTCCAGAACATAAACATGAATGTCAAGGTGTTCACTGGCCTGCAATATTGCCTTCGGATGTAGTTCTGGCTGGTCGAGTAGTAGTGAAATCTTTAGAGCAGAAAGGACAATTTACTGAGATTCCTAATCTTTTGGAAACTTTGGTATATCCCTTAAGTTTAATTTTGATGTTGACTTTAATTCTGTTAGTGGATAACTATTATGTCATGGGTTGACCTTCCAGCTTATGGCCTGTAGTTTTTTCCTTGTAGGGGCTTTGTGAGAGTTATTCAAAAATGCTGCCAGAAAGCAAATTGGAACTACACATATATTCCATTGTCTTGTTGTTTTGTCTCCAGCACTCTTACTGTTCTGAACTGTCAATAAATGGAGACTCCACATCACAGGTCCTCTCAATCCTTCTCTCTCTGTTAGTTATTTACATTTGATGAGAAATTGTACTACAATCTCGATTTTTTCTTACTACTATATTCTTGGTGTACTTTTCTAATCTCTTCTTACAACTGCCATTATATTTTTGTATCCTTTCATCTTAGCAGTGAGACTATGAGACTTAAAGTTTCCCGCCTTCTTAAATCTGAACCGAACCCTAAAAATAAAAATAAATAAATAAAATAAAAACTGATGGAGAATCCATTCCCAAACAATTCAGAAAGCAATAGAAGGGATGGAAATCCTTTTTACTTAATGTGAGGATTCTTGGAGCTAGCTTTATTTTCATATATCACCAGGAGTTATTTCAAGACTTATCTATACATTCTCAGTCAAGGTGTTTACTTGACATGACTGCAACCTACATCACCTTTCGCTTTACTTGGTCATATGGCTGACGTGCAAGTTATTGGTGCAAAAGCAAACAAGACCATAAAGTTACTTGCCAGATTCAATTCATTTCTCTCTCCCATTCTCTCTCTCATACATGCTATGCATATGTTAAATGGTTTCAATAACCAGGAAATCAGCATGTTAATTTTCTACATGCTGATATACTTGTCTTTTGCCCTCTAAGTATTTGACACATAGACTGGTTACAGCAACTTTTAAAATTGTGTTTATTGTCTCAGTTAGCATTTCCCATTTTCCATTCAATCATTAAGTTCTGCATCAGATTACCTACGTGGTTTCCAATCAGACTTTGCACCATGTTGGCTCTGCCCAAAGATTTGATATTTTGCATGTTTGGACTGTTGATATGGCCTCATTTCCTTCACTGCATAACTGATCATGTTTAGTTATTGGGATCTGTTTTGCGATTCATATGCAGATTGTCATACTTCTATCTCAAATTAGAGTGAATTCTATGGCAATTGTTCGTATGAAATCCAGTGATTTTTATGACCAGCAAGATTGGCTTCAAAAGTTCTCCTCTGGTGAGCAGAGGCAGCTAGTAGTGTGGAACAGGTTTGTTTTACTGTATGCTTGTCATTCTTTCCCTTTAAGTACCTTTTTTTTGTTGGTCTTATTCTTCAATAACCTGCTTTTCATTCCTTCACTTCAATTCATAGTTGAAAGCTTTAATGGCTTGTTATTTATATTTCCTTTTGTTTCTGGGCGTTCCTAATGATGAACTGTAATGGGATCTTAAGTCCATTCTGAGTTTCTGACCTCTATACGACTGATATGATCGGGTTTGGTTGGTGGTCTGTTGGATTTATTTTGGTTTTCTTATGGTAATGGATTGCCACTGTCTGAATATTATAGGTGCACCTGTGCTAGGTAAAAACTTAGAAACAAGGACTTTTATAGTGGAGTTTGCTTTATTTTGTCTGGTCCATGGAATTAAAATATTAGCAACATTGCCAATGTATCACATGTCAAGGGGCTCTGATCTATTTTCCGACATTCTTTTTTTTTTTTTTAATTTTGGATAGTAATCTGTAGGTATATAAATATTTTAGCGGATATTTGTGGACTAAGTGAATATTGGTAATATTTCAGCAAAATGATAATAGAATTTGACATAATTCTGGTGATATTGCCAAAGTATCAGAGATGTATCAATTTCTTCATGAAAATTCAGCAAAGTCTATTTTCCAGGAAAAGAATAACTTATTCAAATCCGTGACTGATGAAAGGTTGGATAAGAAAAAATAGCTACAAAAAAGAAACATAAGGGACAAAGAAAGAAAGGAATTAAGAGAAAGAAGAGGGAAGAAAACTTGAGGGTAAAGAGCAGCGTGGGAGGATAAAATGGATGGTTAATCCAGGTGTTGCATGTAATATGGAACAAAGTAAGCCTTATATTCCCCATAAACTCTGGGCAGGTGTTGGCCCATAATATTGGAACAAACTAAGCCTTTATATCTCCATAACTGTTTCCATACTAAGCCTTTATATCCCATAACTCTGGGCAGGTGTGCTTTATAATATGGGAACAAACTAAGCCTTATATCCCATAAACTCTGGGTTGGTTGTAATGAAAGGCCCAAGAAGGAATGCCTATAATATAGACAAGTGTTTTAAATTAAAGATAAAATAATTTTTGGATATTGTTTGTTAAAAAAAATGACTTGGTGCTGGACTGGGAATTAAATTCCCAGAAAACCATTAGAACAAGAAATGTCCTTTGTTGGCCTCCGATCCTCTTAAAAGCAATCTCTGGTTTTATTTAAGTTTAGTTTCTATAATTAACATATGTAATTATATTTAAATGTGATAAAAGTTAAGTTTTTGTTGTTGTGTTGTTGTAGATAGATGCATTCTACATTAGAAATTATTTATGGTAATTCACTTAACATATTGCTGCTCTGTTCTTTGTTCACTATCTTTTCACATATCATATATGTAGTACTATTATTTTAAAATAAGTATAAATACATTATAAAATTTCCTTTAGCATTTTCAATGTTTTGAATATCCTTGTTTTAGAATTTCTATCTATATCTTTACATCCATCAATATTTTTTTATTGTAAAGGTTGCAATACATTCACTGATACTGATTTTTAAACCTTGGTTTTGACTTCATTGCCTTCTTTTCTTTGTCTGGGCTTATGTTAGTGCTTTGTGGTGCTCACATGAATAGGTTACCTTCAGATACTTGAGGGTTAGCTTTGGTGATTGAGAAATTGGGATTTTGGATATTGATATTGAAATGAATTTTCAGACAAATATGGAATTTGTCAGATACTTGATATGGTTCAGACTTGTTATTGAGACTTGAGTTTTAAGGTTTGATAAGAAATTCTAGATTATATATTGGGATATCCCAAGTGTTAAATTTGCTTGGTATCTTGCTATTCTGTTTAATTATTGTTGGTGCCACATCATATGGACCTCAGATTTTGTCATTTAGGTGGACTGATAAACAGAGATCTTGGTTTATTTCTTGGCAAAGCATCTTTAGATAAAATCTCCATTTTTGGTGCATTGATTGATTGGGGTTTTTTCGGAGAAGTTATCATTGTGATCTCCAGAACGAGGGTTGAGATATTCTCTTTCTTTACTTGTAGTTGTATATATAGATCTATTACAAAACCATGTAGATGATTTTATTCTTTTTCATTTTGTTGCTATTTTGTTCACCAGTTACCTTGGAAACTTGAATATGTGCTTCACCAGTTCACCTTATATCCTTTGAAGGGGCATTTTATGCTTATATCAATGTCCAACCTAGAAGAGCCACATATGGGTGCCTTCTAACTCATATACGTTTAAGTATTTTAAGGATATTTCATTAATCAACCTATTACCCCCAGAAGACTGTAAAAAATCAATAGAGCTTAAATTCTTTCTCACCAAATTATTTAAATCCATCATCTAGGGCCATCAGAAGAAACATGCTTACCCAACTCATTGGTAAGGAGAAATATCCTTAAGCATTTTTTTTCCAAATGCAGTTATTCCTTCATAGTCAAGGCCATGAGATGCTACAATTGAATCCTCCATCCTTTTTAGTGGTGCTTCCTATATATACTCTTAGACAAGGGTCACTATTTGGTATAAACCAAAAATACCCAAATGATCAATTACTTTCATTTAGTTCCTATGCATAGAAATTTTAGATTGGTTTCAAAACTAACCACAATTGCCATTTTGTTTTGGTTTAGATGTTTTCCGATTTTTTAGACCAAACCAAATATTATTTTATATAATCAATATTTGTACCTATGCAATTAATTTTTATTTGAATTACTTTATACTTGCTTAAGTATTTATTTCTATGATTGTTTATTGCATTGGCATTGTAGAAATTTGAAATTTAGGCATTTGAAAGAAAAACCTGAGTAAACTAAAGTCCTCAATGGAATAGCTGACCAAACCAAATTGAATTGATTTAATTTGGATGTTTAATTTGGTTTAGTTTGGTTTCAATTTGTGGAGTCAAACTTTTCAGTTTGATTTTAAAAATTCCTTCCAAACTGTATCATGACACCCATTGGGAATTATTCTCACTTATTCTCACTCGCTGCATGTTAAGTGATACCTTTAAATTTGTATTTGTTACTAAACATGTGCCATCTTTTGATTAGTTTGTGTCTTGCCCAGGTCAGAGTAGGTCAGGCTATTTATAAAGCTGCCAGTTTGTTCAACCATTCCTGCCAGCCAAACATTCATGCATATTTTATTTCACGCTCTCTCTTGATAAGAGCAACAGAGTTTGTGGCTGGAGGGTGTCCCCTGGAATTGTCTTATGGTCCACAGGTACTCTCTGTCTCTCATACGCACACGCATACAATTTTCTCAAGGGAGGGAATGGTGACGTTACTTTTTTCCTAGGGTTGTGTTAATCGAATCTGTGTGCAAACAGGCAAGATCAATTTCTTAAGTTAGAGTTTTATTTTACAGGTTGTGGCAATGGACCTGTAAAGACCGCCTTAGATTCTTGAAGGAAGGGTACTTTTTTCATGCTGTGCCGTGGTTGCTTCAGAAGTGAATGCATCTGTATCTTGTTAATTAGTGGATTTTGTTGTGTTATCCAAATTGTTCTTGGAGTGGTTTTAAGATAATCTCGTGGCTAACTGTGAAAAGCAGAAACTAAAATTCCAGAAAACAATCAGCATTGATTCTCATTTGCAGGTACTTTAGTATCTCTTGGTGCAATTAGTAAGCATCAGCTATAAAGTAAAACAACGAGTACGGCCTAGCTGTTTCGACCACAAAAATTTTCAACTGATGGAGTTATGCTAAATACTAAATAAAATATTTGTTTTTAAATTCCTATGTATAAATGGTTAAGACCCTAATTAGTATTCGACAAGTGCCAATAATAGATGAATATTGCTGCAGGAATGACTTTTTCTTAATTAATTATTGAAACTTTTATGAGAGACTAGAATTAAAGCACGTATTATTTTTGGTAAACATTATTATGTAATCTGTAGCCCATGTTGTGGGAATTTTGTTGGTTTCTGCAGAGTTCATCAGATGGATCATGTAACTTTTATCAGTATATCTCCATGGTACTCGACCTCAATGATTTTGACATCAAGGAAGTGGCTCACATTTCACTTGATGGAAACACGTAATTGCCTCCGTATTGATTCTGGGTATTGCTTTGAAATGTGGGGTCCTACTGCAATTGGCAATCTAGAAGTGAAAGCAGTTTAAAAAGGGCTTGGTTCATCTCAGAAAGGTCCGCAAGTTTCATATGTTCCAAAGCTTTTGTGATGTTAATGATTGTATATCTTTCTGAATCTGCGGATCACATGCAAAGATCTTGGCTTCTGTTATTTTCTTTTTTTTTTTGTAAATATAACTCATCAGGACTATCATCGTTGATTCTAGGCCGTACTTTTCTAATTCATTTTAAATTATGTTGTAAAGCTTTAACTTACAATGTATGGATGTATGTATACTGCCCAGCTACAGAGAAGCATACCTGCTTTACCTACAGTCTGTTCGTTGCTTGATAGGTTGCAGGACTCGATAGCTTCAAAAGATATCTGCAGTACTAGGCTTTCAGATGCTTTGAGATCTCTTGGTCTTCTACGATCAACACTGCATGCTTATAACAACGGCATTGCAGAAGTGAGTTTCATTGACTAACTATTAACACCTCCCTTGAAGCTCTGCCAATCTGAGTTTAATAAGAATTACAACCACTAATGGTAGATTTAACCATCTATGATATTGTCTTTTGCAGGCAGAGGACAATCTTGCAAAGGCATTTTGTTTCACTGGAGATTTGCAGCCAGCAAGAGATCATTGTAAAGCATCGATTGAGGTAACTGTTTGCTAGTGCAAGAATCATATTGCTACTCAACTCTGATGAAACATTAGTTTATGTTACCAGTTATAACTATTTAGTCATTTTGTTCACTGCTTTTTGATCTTAAGAATAATCGTTAAATTTCATATTAGTGCAGCTAAAATGTATAAAATGTTTTATTGGAATTGTTCAAATGAGAAAAGATAATAATAGTTAGGAGAAGAGGAAGAGGAAATGAAAATGGGCATTGTAAGGGGGGATAGATATTGTTCTCCCCATCTCTAAAGGCTTTTGTTTTGCTAAATTAATGCTTTTACTTTGAAAATGGAAGAGTGAGTAGGCCCACAATTAGAAAACAAAATTAGGACGGTGTCCAATGCCATTGCCACTACAGTTCAACTTTAACTTGTCTGAGAATTGATTTAACCCTGAAGAGAGACCCAAGTAATAGTCATCCCCTTTAATAAGCACTAGAGGCTTCCAAATCGTATTCTTTTATAAACTTTAAATGTCTGTAAACAAGGACTTTGTCAAACCTAATAAATCTTCTATATACCTCATTATCATTAAAGCTGTCACATTGAACTAATTGTATGCACTTGGCAAAAAAAAACCTATCATATGCAAGTGTTGGCCATTGTTTATCACGACCATAGAGCACATAAAGAAAAGGACAACAAAAAGGAATTGCATCAAAGTCTTGGGGCACTACTTCTAAATTTTCGTCTGATTGACCTGCAAATGGTGACTGTTTTGAATCTTAAGCTGTCTGTTATCTTCAACAACTTTATGGTTGTTCAAGCTAGACAGCATGTATCTTTTTGGAGAACTAAATTGCACTTGTATATTTAGAACTCAAGTGTCTTTCACTATCACTGCCATATACAAAACTTATTCCAGGAGTAGGTTTCCAGATGTCTCGAGATGCCAAAAGCTACATCCATATGGTGGTGTGCACGCATAAACTACCTAACATGAGATTCAGGAAATTGTATAACATGCTAGGTTAGGAGGATCACTCTTTCCCATTATTTGCAGAAAGTCTCGATGAAATTTATTTTGGTCCTACATTTTAATCATTAATTATACAAGGCCTTGTGAGGGGCTATTATAAGTTTCCAATTAATGATGTTTGAACAAGATTTTCATAATTTTGTTTTTGGTTGCAGATATTGGAAAAGCTCTATGGCCCCAATCACATTGTGATTGGACACGAATTGGTTAAGCTTTCATCTATTCACCTATCGATGGGTGATTGTACTGCTGTGGACAACATAAGTCGACTCAGTGTTATATTTTCCAAATATTATGGACCACATGCAGGCATTATATTTCCTTATCTACTGTTTCTTGAGAAAGAAAGTTGCCATATCATACACTGAAAATACCAAATTTTTTTCTAGTTTGAGAAACTGATAGTTCATAGCATCCCACAATATTTTTTCTGGAGTTGTGGGCGCCATCTTGGCTTGATGTCAATTATGTATATGCCTATAAATGAGTGGTTTTTCATTGCAATGAACAAAGTGCAAGTATTAAACTCTTATTACTCAATAGGGTAGGTCTTGATATATATATTTATCTCTCTTAATAAAGTATCTAAATTATTTACGACTGCTCAAAATTCAATGGCAAATATATATGGGAATTATAAGATAAAAATAATCTACCTTATATAATTTATTTATCTCTGTACTTTTTTTTTTCAATCATGAATATATGACTAAATAGATGTTGATTTTGGATCAAATGTTTGATTTGATTTTCAATTAAGGATCTAACATTATATTTGTGTCAAATTAGCCTAAACTTTTGGGATGGAAGTTGGCTTACAGTGGATAGCATGGATCCAAGCTTTTATGTATTGAAAGGAATGAATATTACGCAGCTGCCTTCACTCCAAAGATTTAGCTGAAGTTGGCAGGAATTGAAATTGAGAGCGCTATCTCAAAGTTTCATGCAGCAGCAAGGTGGAGGTGTGATTTGGAGAATACAAGGTTCAATTTATTAGGCTGCTTATGTTTGGAATGAATTGAGACATAAACGATACCGGTGATGATGGTTTGGTTATTTAGATTAATACACAACATTACAGGTTTTGAAAAGTCTGGTTATTTAGATTAATGTATAACATTCTAGGTTTTGAAAAGTCAATCTAATTTTGAATCGAATTATTTTAATAATTGATTTCATGTAAATTGAATTTTATTGATTTGATTTATCAAATTTTAAATTTGTTTTAGTTTTTAAATTATTTTAATATAATTTTTAATATATTTAAATAAATTTAGATATAAAATAATTATTTTTATTTTATAAAAATTTAAAAAATATAAAAAACTAATAAAATATATAATAAAGTTAACATATTTTTAATTTTTAATTTTTTTATTTGAATTAATATAAATATTTAATATCTAAATTAAAATTAAATCAAATAAAAAATTAAATTGATTCGAATAAAATATTATAATTTTTAATTCATTTTTTATTTTTGAATTTTTTTTTTTTAAAAAAAATCTTCTTACATCAGTATAAATGTTATACCTTTTTAACTCTTAGATCAAAATGGCAAAATATTAATATTATAAATTTAATTTTGATCTAACAAAATATAAGTAGGTTGTCTTCTTGTTTTTCATCCCTAATAGGCAAAGGCCAAGGATTATAATAAAATAATATTATGAATTTAGTCAATCATTGGACTTGAAAAATATGTCGGGCCAGGCCTACAGGTCTGGTCTATCAGGCCGCCCAACCTGTTTTTAATTTTACCTTGAGGGAAAAAAAATAAAAGAAATAGCTTAATAATAATAAGAATAAAGAAAAAAACAAAAAAAAAGCCGCGGCAGACGGGCTGTAGTCAACGCTAATGAATGAGAGGTCTGCGCGTGGAGTTGCGGCAAATACGTAACGCGACTTTTGATTTGGAACATCTGATATTGGGATCCTTCTTTCTTCTCCTTTCGACAATTTACATTTCTTTTTCGTTTCTATCGAAATAAGGGATATTTCTTTGCAGTGGTCTTATTTATCTGCTTGCCGATAAGAACCAGGAAGGGAATTTTCGCTTTTCAACAAAAAATTTCAAATCAAGAAAATAAAATAAAAAAAAAGAATACTGCAAGTCATCGATCGGGAATGGTGAAGGAGACAGAATACTACGATGTGTTAGGGGTCAGCCCTTCCGCTACAGAGGCTGAAATCAAGAAAGCTTATTATATCAAGGTGATTATTTCTCTCTTGCTTTCACCATCACAGTTAGATTGGGTAATCTTTTCTGTGTAGATGGTTAATGTTGGTAGATCCGTCGGCAAACCATCCTTGATCGTTAAATTAGAGCTACCCATACTCATGGAAAGTCGATACAATCCAATTTACCCTGTTTTTCTTAAGATTTATTTACTCGGTCCTAATAATTTCCCCCTTTCTCATTCATTTTTTTATATACAGTATATCCTTATTAGGTTACAGCTCTCTCACTACTGTTCCTCAGCATTTTTTAGCATTCAACTCTTCACTTTATGGGTGGTGGTCTTTTCAGATAAAGCCCTCACTTTGTTTATTGTATGCAGGCACGGCAGGTTCACCCAGATAAAAATCCAAATGATCCTCTAGCAGCACAGAATTTTCAGGCAAGCCTTACATTTTGCATGTTCATCACCCAAAAAATTATAGTTAAAATAATGGTTTCTCTTATCATAGTCTGTTGCTAGTAATTGCCATTAGTATCATCTCTACCTTACATGCAAATAACGTTTCGGCACCACTAACTCACCCGACTTTGGCACTGCCAAATGCTGCCGACTGGAATACTAGATCAGTTTTTTTGTTGTTTAACATTGGCAAAGTTTATATCACTTTTCTTTACACCATTTCTTTCAAAACATAATTAAGCAGATCTCTGCTTGGAAAATGAAAATTGCAATGAGGAATGCCATGTGATTTAACATGAATACCATTAATCTCTTTGCCATTTCTTACCCTTGTTCTATATAAGGTGCCTCCTTCTTAAGTTGTTTGCTTCCTAGTCTTAAGAAAGAATTTTATGAAGTTCAATTTCAGCATAACTTCTTTTCTGGACCTTGACCCCTTAAAAATTTTATTTTCTTGATTGAGCCAGAATTACTCACTCTTATCATCATGCCATGAATTGATAAGTTGTCTGCTATTGTTAATATAACACTTGAAAGCTGTTTGGGTAGAGAATAGTGATCCTATATCTGAATCTTATTGCTCTTGTAGAACAACAACAAACCTAAGCCTTTTCCCACTATACGAGGTTAGTTGTGCGAATCATATTATGTTAATATGCTTTAATTAAGGCCTAATCGTCATATCCTCAATAAGAGCAAAAAAAGGCAGATGGAAATTGTTTAAATGTACAGTTATATGGGCAGCCTTTTAAACATTGTAAGTGTCAGGTGCAAACTGTTTCAGTGTCTGCTTGTACTGTGTTCATTGCATCTATTCTTGACCTCAATATTGGTATTAAATCTTTCTTGAGAAGTTTTATTTTTAAGTTTTACCCAGGTGTTGGGAGAGGCTTACCAAGTATTAAGTGATCCGGCACAACGACAAGCATATGATGCTTATGGGAAATCAGGAATCTCAACGTTAGTTTCCTATTCTTATTCTATGAATATGTGAATCTTAAGGTTCATAGGCTGTCTAAAAAAATTGAAAGTGTAATATTATTTTCATGGAATTTATTTGATGGTTTTCCTTTCTTGCAGTGAGGCAATTATTGATCCTGCAGCAATATTTGCAATGCTTTTTGGTAGTGAGCTTTTTGAGGAATATATAGGACAGCTTGCTATGGCATCAATGGCCTCATTAGACATTTTCACGGAAGGGCAGCAGTTTGATGCCAAAAAGTTGCAAGAGCAAATGAGGGTAAAAATTCTTATTTATGTATGTAGATGATAGAGACTTTTACCGAGAGCGCGTTTCGATGGAGAATTTTGAAATTTTGAAGAAATTTGAAATGAAGATATTTTACAATGCATCATTTCAAAATGCTAGCATTTGTAATTATTTTGTTTGGATAAATATTCATTTAGAAAGAAATTTAATCTATTAGAATTTGATGAGATAAAAAAATAATTATAAAATAAGAATAATGATATTGAAGATAAAAAATATATGTATAAAAAAAAATGCAATATGGGTATCATTATATTTTTAAAAGTATATAGATATTATTAATAATAATAAAAATAAAAAATATGTATCATAGTTAAATAAAATGATATTTTATTTTTTGAGTCTTATATTTATGGTGGGTCATGTGCAGTAAGGAGATGGTGGATTTGGAGAAATTTTGAAAAACCACCTCTTTAGGTGGAATTTCAAGAGGAAAAGTTCCCTCCTGAAATTCTATTTAAATTTTGAAATTCTCTCTTATTTTTACCCACACAAGTAAATTTATTTTTGGACTTTTAAAAACCTTGATCGAAATGAAATCCCTCCTCATCCAAACACACCCTAAGAATTTCAATTCTGACAGGGTGAGTTATTGAATGAAGAAATAGGGCAAACAGAGTCTTAATTTAATAAACAGTGAATTAGCTTTAGCTTAGTTGTAATTCCCCTTGTTGTTCGAACCTAGGATTGAAATTGGTTTTTCTGCTTTAGGATAATTTTCAGAAACCACCTAATAGTACTTTCAATTTGGTTAGACATGGAAATCTTGGGGAATCAGGTATTGGGTCATAGGGAGAAAGTTTCAGATCTAATGCAGGACAACAAAATGAATTGGCTGTGTATATTGAGGACAAATAAGTGGCTAGAAATAAGGTACGAGGTTTCTGGAATTTTAGGAGAGAAATCATACTAATAACAGAAACATTTACTTTGGTGGAGGTAACAGGATGACTGTTGTTTAAGGGTGATAAGGGGTTGTGTGCCATGTATATCACCACTGTCAATTTAGGAACCCATTTATTTTAATTCATAGATGCTGCAATATTGTAGATAGGGCAAACTAGATTTGGCTTTACAAGTTTTCAATAACCACCCAAAGTTTTCAAAGTGAAACATAAACGCATTTCCTGTTTTCTGTTTAAGATATATATATATATATATATATATATATTATTGGGGGGGGGGGGGGGGGGGTGGGGAGGGACTCTGTTCCTAATTTATTTTATGAAAAGACAAACAGGCCTGGATATCTCAAGGGATCTATGTGTTGCTCCACTAGTTTTTTTCTTCTTTTCAATTTTATTATTTATGCTCTCTTCTTTATCAATTTTAAATGATAAAGAAATGCATTATTAAATAACTAGGTTCAATCATAAGGCTGTATTCATATGACCCTCCTAGACCTCACATTGCAAGTGATTTGTACAGGGGTCTCCAACTTAGTTCAATGGTCCAAGAGTCAACGGTAAATAAAACCTTGCTCAATCCTGATTGACAGGCTTGAGTGCATATTTGGCTGAATAATTCATGAAATATGGAATTGATTTTTTAATAATAAAATTAGGTATCTTTTTTTGGTTGCCAGTGAGGTGCTACTGAATTTATGAGAAGTCACTTGTATCATCTCCTAGCTTCCACCTTTTTGTTCTTGACCTCCTTACTTGGTTTTCTCAAAGACAAGAAAAGTAAAAAGAGGCAAGTGTTAAAGCTAATTTTGTTCTGTAATATTCTATTTAATGTCAGCATTTATAAGGTAATGCATATCTTGGCAGTTATAAGAAAAGAGTTAGATATCTCTGTTCTTTTCTTTTTTTCATGTGAAATTGATCAATGAATTGTTCTCAGTGTTATGATGGATTGTTGGTTTCATGGTATTCTTTCATTTGCAGAAAGATGTTTATTCATTAACCTTGACTTTGTTTTACCTACCTATAAAATATTATCCTTTGGCCCTCATCACCGGTGCAAAGTAATACAAAATCTCTTCATATGTGGTACAAGTGTTTGTTGTTGCTGGCATCCCTTCAATTTAGCAAAGATATTATAAATCTTTTTGTGCAAAATGTTTTTGGCTACAGGTTGTTCAGAAGGAAAGAGAAGAAAAGCTTGCAGAAATACTGAAAGATCGACTAAATCAATATGTGCAAGGAAACAAAGAGGACTTTGTTAGTCATGCGCAAGCTGAAGTATCGAGGCTCTCTAATGCAGGTAGTATATCTTGTTATCTGACAATGATATATAACTACTTCAGGGTGAGAGAAAATTGGAAATCTTTCATCATCTTCTTGGATGAATTTTTACTAGTAAACATCTTCATGATTCTTGAGCTCTCATATGATATGGCCTTCTGAAATATTGCATAAACTACCAAAGTGGGCAGTCATTGATACCAAATTGAAGATAAAATTAAACTGCTATATGCTCTCAAAAATGGACCCTCCACAATTATAGTTGCCCTTAAAAATGGACCCGTCACTATTATTGTTGTGCAATGGTGGTTGAACTGTTTAAGATTTGCTAGGATTTGAACTTTAATCTTTTTATGCCTGTTTTGCTTATTGATATCAGTTGAAACTTGCATTTGGGGTTACAATTTTTTTTTTTTTTTGGGCCACAAATGGGAAATTATAAAGTTTGATGATTTAATCTAGTTTGGGATCTTGTTTCAGATGACTTTCCCATTTGACAAGTGCTTACACACACACATAAATATATATATACACACAAGGGGCAATTTAGTGCCATGTAGTGTTAACTCGTTAGTGACTATTGGGGTGCTTGGATAAAGGTTCTAAATTGGGTAAAAAATGGATGAAGTATGCCAACAATTCTTAATTTAGGATAGGTATATCTATTTTGTGTGCTTGTTTCCTCACTATCTTCTTTATTTTTGTTGGATGTTTGATTGTTTAATTGATTTTCAGTTATGATAGATTTGCCGTATATGTTTTACAGCTTATGGCGTTGATATGTTGAATACAATTGGTTATATATATGCAAGACAAGCAGCAAAAGAGCTTGGGAAGAAAGCAATATACTTGGGTGTGCCATTCATAGCTGAGTGGTTTAGAAACAAAGGCCACTTTATTAAATCCCAAGTAACAGCAGCAACTGGTTAGTAAATGCTGCTAACTTTAATTGTTAGTACACATAATTATGTTTTGTTGATAACTCGTTTGATTTTCTACTACTGTCAGATTAAGTTTGGGTCTTTATTCAATCCTTAACAAGGAAAAATCAATTGTGTTGTTAATGTTTCTTACAAAGAAAATTTTTACAGAAAGAATTATTGTGTTTCATCTTTTTTTTTTTTCCCTTCATGGCGTAGGTGCAATTGCTTTGCTTCAGCTGCAGGAGGACATGAAGAAGCAGCTTAATGCCGAAGGAAACTACACTGAGAAGGAGCTTGAAGAGTACATGCAATCTCACAAGAAGCTGATGATTGATTCATTATGGAAGCTTAATGTAGCCGACATAGAAGCTACCCTTTCTCGTGTTTGTCAAATGGTTGTTTCACTTGTTTCTTCTTTTATGACTGTTAGATGGCACTGGTTAGATATTTGTTATATGTTTCTTGTATCTATCAAACTATTGTTTTAGGTTCTCCAAGATAACAATTCCAAAAAGGAAGAGCTTCGAACACGAGCAAAGGGGTTGAAAACTCTGGGTAAAATCTTCCAGGTGTGCATTTTTTTTCTCCTTTTCTTTTATCTTTATGTTCTCTTACCTTATTATTTCTTAATTCCTTCTGAACTTTCTTGCAAATGCCATGGTATGAATGTAGAGGGCCAAGTCAGTGAATGGAAGCGAGAGTGAACCTGTACTAAGCAGTAGTGAGGTACATAAATTGGATGGAAGTCAACCAAGCTATGATGGTAGTTCTCCAAATGCATCACCAAAGTCCCTAAACCAGGAAGAGTTATCTTGTTCTACATTTGCATCACAGGTATGGTTATTATACTGATTAATAAACTTTTTTTTTTTAATCCATGTAACAGCTATGGGTCTTTTTCTGCATTTCTTTATATGGCATTATAACTGTTTAAGATTAGCTGTTACCTAACTGGGACATAAGAGGCAATCAAAATATTGTGTTTCCATACTTTGGTTGCATTTAGAGGATCGGGGATTTGATCTTAAGATTTATGGAAGGGGGATTTGAAGACCTTTCATCTTATTTTATCAGGTGGTAAGTGGTGTGTTTCATCTTTGAATGATTCATACTGTAATAAATGGCTACACAGAAGTTGGGATTTGATTTGAATTTGTTAGAGAGAGGAAGAGAACCTTTGAATTTTAAACTCAAATTTCTGAACCAAGAAGCTTTAGAGTAATACATAAGATGTGGAGCCTGGGTTCTTAAAGTTCAAAAGAGGCAAATATTGGATTTATACCTTCATATGTCGTGGTGATAAATTGTTTATTTCCAGAAATACCCTTAATATGTCCTTTTTTAATTTGTTGGGGGGGGGGGATGAAGGTGAATACTAGAGAATCCCACATTTTCTCCTTTTATTATTTTTTTTCCTGACTGTTTGAAACAATTTGACATTGTAGAGCCCATATGTGGAGGCCCCTAACTTTGTGGATGCTGAGTTCACCTACAACTTCCCAAGGCCAACAGCACCACCTGGTGCACAAAGACATCCTTGAATTAGCAGAGATCTAAAGGTGTATGCTTGTATTATACAGCTATCATATGTATCGATATTGTGGGTGCAGCTGGCACAGGTGTTTTGAGTGTTATATCATTTGTTCCTTCATACCTGTGAGCTGTGATATGAAAGAGCACATCCAACCCCCAAGTGAGCATGTTTTTTATGGCAGATTAGATCTATATGCATAGGGAGAAAGATGGCTGTAGAATATACTTTTTTCCGTTGTCAAAGGCTGGCCGAGATTGGCTGCCTGGTTTCTTCAATGACGGTTTGTTGTTTTATTTCTTTTGGTTCGTTTTGCATTTGTTGTGTTTTCATTTTCACAATGTAAATGAGTGACTCGTACACCTTGTGACGTCGTTTTATTTGAAGCACAGAGATTGCAATTCGTCTTTTTCATACTTCTTAGGAAAGGATTCGACTTCTTACTTTGTGATACGTAGGAGCATCGACCAACAATTTTTTTTATAAAAATTCTACAATTGTTCAATCACAATTCATCATTCATAAATGTGATTTCTATATAAAATTTTGATAAATTCTATATAATTTTAAATTGTGATAGATTATTTTTATAAAGAGCATTTTTGTTCAAAATTTTTTAAAAAGTTTTTACTGTTTTATTATAGTCAATTAAACTCTTAAAGCATTTTTTATCTAATTAAAAATTTAAAGTGTTATTTTTGTTTAAGTTTTTTAAATATTATTATTTTAATTAAAATTCTATTTATCTAAAGGATTTTAGTAGTTTTCATGCAAAATAAGAATTTAACTAAACAAAAATAGCATTTTAAATCAATTGAGTGATAAAAGAAAAATAAGGTTATTTCAGAAATTTTGAGAAAATATAGGAATTTATTTTAATTTTTGGCCTAGTCATAATCTATAATAGCAATATATAACAAGTTGATTAAATTACTTAAAAATTAAATAGAATAACAATATCAGATTACATAAATTTAACAATTTAAAAAATTTTTCTTATAAAATATTTATTTTTTTTAAAAAAATTATTCACATTTTATAAAAATTTTATCTACTTTTTTTTCTTTCATTACTCAGCTCTTTCAAATAATGATTCCCCACCCCCCCCCCCCCCAAAAAAAAAAAAAAAAAAAAAGAAAACCTCTTTCGAAACATAAGTTAATATATCTTCACCAAAATACTATGATTAACTTAAGATATAATAAAACTGTAACGAATCAGGAAATCAGGGTTTAGTGGGGTTGGAGTCGCAGTGGCCGCCCGCTTCCAAATGAGGTCAAAGACAGGCGGTGAGGACTGGGATGTCCTGTGTGATTCTAAAACCTACTAAAATATTTTTTTATATCAAAAAACACAAAAAATTAAAAAATAATATATATCAAATATGCTGATAGAAAAATTTTTAGATCTAAAAAATTAATAAAAAGACACATATCCTTTAATATACAATAAAAAATTAATTAAAAAAAATATAATATGCATCTAGCTTTCAATCTTTCTAATAAAATTAAAAATTTCACTGATAGTGGAACAATTACTATAGTTTAATAATGGATTTATACCAATATTAAAAAAATAATGGAGTTATAACAGTTTTCACATGGTGAAAATTTTAAACAATTAAACTCAGAATTAGATTCTAATTATAGGTATTACGTGGGAGCTTCCATTGTTGTGGGTAAAAAACAATTTTTTTGTCATAATTTTTTATCGATTTTTTTTAATTTACCTAAAAAAAGCAAAAAAAAAAGTAAAAGATATAAAAAAATTCTAAATGAAATTACACGTTGATACATAAATTGAACTTTTATTATCACAAAATATATTTTATAAAAAATAAAATTTTTTAATTTTATTTTTTGGTCATTATTATGAATGATACCTAAATTATAATAAAATATTCAATTTAATGTCTAAACTTTAAAAATTTTTAACACGCATTCAAATTGTAAATTTATTAATTAAATGTATTACTCACTCTTCATATAATTAGGTTTAAATGATGACACGTAACATACAAATAATCTTTAAAGTATTACATTAATTAATAAATTTATAGTTCAAATATTACATTAAAGATTTTTAAAATTTAATTATTACATTATAATTTATGAATTATTCATGATATTAATTTTTATTGTTATTATTTTTATAAAACTTACTTAATACTAAACTTTCAATAAAAATCGATGAATTTATATATATAATTAAATAAATAATAAAACATATATTTTTATTTATATCATAAGATGATTTGAGATAGATGATCAAATTAAAACAGATAAAAACTCAAAAGATATTAATTGTTTTATAATTCTTATTAATCTATTAATTTTATTGTAAAATTATTTAATTAAAAAAAATATAAAAAAAATAAATTATGTTTTCTTACAAAAAAATTTTAAAAAAAGGAAAGAAATATAAAATGTCACATTGACATTTTTGACATTGAATAGATCAAATCCTAATACCATTTATAAAATTGAAGTAAAAAACTCTCTTTTTATTCTTCAAATCACGGATTGCGTCTCAAAACATTAGATAGAAATCCAACTACGAAGACAGAAACAAAGAATATCATGTAAACAAAGAGTTTAAAAGTTAGCATTACACAATTTCCAAGATCATTTTTTTTGTAAAAAAAAAAAAAAAGAATAGATTCCTCGTTTTTATACTACATAGCCTATTTTGATACTAAGAAATAAAGTGATTTTAGAATTTTTAAAAATAAAAAAAGAATTTAAAAATTTTATTTATAATAAGAGTTGAGTTTTTCATTAAAAAATTCTTTTATACCAACAATTATATATTGTGATGGATTTTACTCTAAATAGGATTCTTCGACAAAAAAAAAAAAAAGTTAAAATGAGGAAATGAGATAATCTAACTTTTATCATGGCTATCAAGAATTTCAATCTTTGAATTGAGGGTTCGGTTCGTTCATAGTGTTCATAGTGTAAGACTTATCTAATCTTTTCAATTGTTACAATTTTTTTTCTTGAATAAATCATAATTTAAAAAAAATCGCATAAATCGAAATAACACAAAAAAAAAGGAAAAATGAGAATGACATATGATTTTATTAAATTAAAATATTAAATAATATATTTATTAATATAATACATATATCTAAATGATAATTTTTTTTTTCAAAATTTAATCCTGGATTTTAAAAATTTTAAAAAGTGAACAAAACAAATAAGAGATCCAAAAAAGGAAACAAATATTAAATTTTAATCTGATATTAAAACATAAATAATTTTTTCTTAAAAAATTATCAAATTAAAAAAAAAACAAATTTTTATTCAACAATATAAAATGCGCTTTACATTTAAAAAATATTAAAATATTAAAAACATTAAATATTAAAAAAATTACAAAAATTACAAAAAAAAAGGTAAATAACTTGACACATTACATATTTTTATTATCAAATAAATCAGACAAATAAGAATTTAAAATATTAAAAATATTTATTAAATATATAAAAAATAATAAAAAATATGAGGTACTTTAATATTAAATGAGTCTCACACAAAAAAATTTTAAATTTTTAAAAATTATTAATAAAAAAAATTAAAAAAAATAAATGACTTGATACGCTACATACCTTTTATATCATGTGAGTTTGACAAAAAAATTTAAAATGTTAAAAATATTTATTAAATATAAAAAGAAAGTAAATGATAGAAAAAAAAAAAAAAAAACCAAACACACGACGTACTTTAGATATCAAATGATAAAAAGGGCAAAAAGAAAAAAGAAAAAGGAGAAAACATGATATAAAGTGAATCCCGTCTTAAAAAATTTTATTTATTTAAATATTAAAAAATCTTTAAAAAATATTTTAAAAATAAAAAAATAAAGCACTTTAGGTCAAAATGACCAAAAATTAATAGTATGGATGGATTAGGGTTACTGAAAATGGCAAGAAACTTGTGTGTAACAATTATTTTCCAGCCCAATTATTACCATTATTTTCAAACGCTACAACTGTACATTGGTTTACAAAGTGTATCGCATGAAAATGAGTAAATGAGGGGTGTATCCAGGCCCTACTTGAATAACTTTCACCCACAATAATCAGAAATTACTATGGATGAAACAACTTCCAAAGACATGCATGATGGGAAAAATGAAAAAGGAAGAGCACAAAAATCGACATAAATGTTTCATTAAACTAGAAAACTATCAAGGGCCGGCCAGAAACCAGACTAGATTTCTAGTTTGTTTCAGCAATCAGCAAGTGCAATAAGCTGATCAACTACACCTGGCTCTGCTAGCGTGCTTGTGTCTCCAAGTTCATCTAACTGTCTTGACGCAATTTTCCTCAGAATCCTCCGCATTATCTTTCCACTCCTTGTTTTTGGGAGGCTAGGTGCCCAGTGTATTTTGTCAGGTGCTGCAAATGCTCCTATCTGCAAGGCAGATGGATATCTTCAGACTACCAGTAAATAAAATTCAAACCAACCATTTTTGTCCAATATGTCAACAGACCAAGATAATGCTGGTATCATTTCCGCATTAATGATTTTCATCAAGAAAGGTGCATCAGGTTAAGTTTGTCTTTATGCTACAGCCATTGGAATAAATTCAAACCTGATTTCGCACTGTGAGTACAAGGCTCCTTCGGAGTTCTTCACTGTAAGAAACGCCATCCACAAGAGTAACAAAGGCATATATGCCCTGTCCTTTAACCTAACAGCAATATAAAAAGAGAGCTTAGACTTACTAACCACAAGCATATCTCTTGGCTACTTAGTATAACAGATGAATCAGAATCATTGAATACCTCATGCTCAACACCAACCACAGCAGCTTCTGCACACCGAGGATGAGAGACTAGAGCAGATTCCACCTCAGCTGTGCCGATACGATGTCCGCTGCAAATATTAAGATAGTATCATTCACAGGCAGTAGGAAAGAAACAGATTTTTGTTTACTTGCTAAGGAACATGAAGACATTCAACAAGCTGGCTATTTTCCAGATAACAGCAGGACTTTATTAATAAAAAATACCTAACATTGATAACGTCATCAACTCTTCCAGTAAGCCAGTGGTACCCATCCCTGTCCCTGAAACATAGACAACAGTAACTCAACACGGGTGCCTGAGTTTGGATGCCATCAATGGATAAAAAGTAAAGGGATGGCAAATTAGAATCCAATTTTGTGCGCTGATAAAAATGCAGACCAATAAAAGAGCAATTTCAGTGTTAGGACCAATGTACCTGCTGCAGCCATCACCAGTAAAATAATATCCAGGGAATGGTTTAAAGTATGTTGTCTCATATCTCTCATGGTCACCATAAAGAGTTCGAAATGCGCCAGGCCACGAGCTTTTCACACAGAGATAACCACTGCACTCACCTTCAATCTCAACTCCTTTCTCATCCACGATGACAGGCTGCAGTTATATCGGAAGAGATTAATGGAAAGGAAAAAAAAAGTACTAATTTTCTATAACAGCATTGCATTAAACCTGAACTCCAAAGAAGGGAAAGGTAGCAGAACCAGGCTTCTGTGGCCAGGCACCCGGTAGTGGAGTAATCTGCCAGTTAAGACATGGAAAAGAATAATCAAAAGTTGAAATATGCATGTAGCAGAGTAAAATCAACTAAATTTTCCAAGTGAAAAATAGTTCTTAGAATATACTCCAAGGAGATTCTACCAAAGTATGTAACATGAAGAAAGAAATAAATAAAACTCACCATAAACCCGCCTGTTTCAGTTTGCCACCAAGTGTCAGAAATTGGGCACTTGGACCCTCCAACTACATTAAAAAACCACCTACAGTAACCGGGATCATTTTAGGTTAAACAGTTTTTTTACATATAGAAAAAAAAAAGGAGACAAAAGAAAAAAGAAGACTTATTGATCAAAAGAAATTATATAAAGCTGAGAACCTCCAAGCACTTGGATTAATTGGCTCGCCAACACTTCCAAGGACACGCAGGGACTTCCGTGAGTAGCGTGTAACATACTGCATAGTCAGCAATAGCGATATCAATATAAATTTTGGAAATGCATCAAGAGGAACTCCTGCAATGGTTTCTCTCCACCATAATAGACAAAGCAAAATAGTTCTTCAAAGGCCAAAGGATAGTTTCATATATCATGCAAGTAAACTTTGTGCCAGAATTAAACAAAATGGCTGAATGCTGAAAGGGAAAACAAAGACAAAAGTGGATTGTAGCTGTGGAAACTATGAATCTGGGTGTAAAATATCAAAAAAAATGAAGAAAATAGTAACAAGGTGCTCTCCTTGTTCACAACAATTCTGATAACTTGTTGAACCAAAGATTTGTGGTGTGTAAACAAGGTTAGAGATATAACTTGCCTCATCACCATCACGCATGAGAGAGCGCACCAATGTAGGGGCTGTGTAGAATATGGTCACCTTGTACTTGTCGACAATGTCCCAACATCTTCCAGGATCAGGGTAATTTGGGGCCTGCATTTGAACATGTGGACATGTTGCTATCTATTGAAACATCTATAATAAATTGAACTAAAAATATTTGGTTTAAGAAATATAAGATTCTTGCACTTATTAATGGCTGTTATTTATCTAAAAATCAAGTTTAATTTTTTTTTTTTTAATGTTGGTATGCTGCAATGTATTGTAATGGATAGCATTTTACTACTCTGTTACTCTCTTGATAAACTTTCAGAAACATCACATGACTTGTCAAACCTTTCATATACCATGATGTTTCATCCAACATGTTCTAATTAAGCTGGATTAGTTGCCAAAACGTCTTTTCTCCTTCTTAGTACTTAATGAAAATTCCAGGGTATTTAAAAAAAAAAGACAATTCCTGGGAATCAAAAGTTACATCATAAACATGATCTATTTAAAGCTGTATTAGTTGCCAATCTTGGAAGCTTAGTCTCTTTTTCCATGTCAACTAGGAACTGCGAACCCTTACCCCCTCATATACAACAACTGTTGCTCCGTTAAGCATGGGTCCATAACTGACGTAACTGTGCCCAGTAATCCAACCACAGTCAGCTGTGCACCTAAAATCAAAGGAAAAGATATGACTAGTAAGACCCAGCATCAAAAAGTTACCAAACAGCAAGAATTTATAAAATTTAAAAAACAAGAAGGGTGCAGAGTGTCCAAAGTACCAGTAAACATCAGACTCTTTGTAGTCAAATGCATATTTAAATGTTGTAGCTGTGTACACCATATATCCTCCGGTTGTATGGAGTACACCCTTTTAAAAGTTCATATTAGAGCATAGGAAAGGAAAATGATAAACTACAAATACTTCAACCAAGCAAATAAATACCTTTGGCTTCCCAGTGCTCCCACTAGTATACAGTAGAAAAAGGGGATCTTCTGCATCAACCCACTCAACATCACAAGTAGTTGGATATTTTGGGATAACATCCTAGAAGAAACTTATGAAAATCAGCACCTCCACAACTAAACAAAATGCTAATGTAAAATTTTGGTTTCTGGAACCAGGAACCACCAAAATGTCCAATACTTTTCTGTTTTTACACTAACCTCCCACCATATATCTCTTCCTTCCTGCCATTTAGTGCTTTCCCTCTTCAATGCTGATTGGTTTTCGTAGGTTAAGCATACATCTGCTCAAAAGAAGATATCACTATAGTTATACGGCAGATGAGTTATAAAATTAATCAAATATTGTATCACTGGTGATGGTAATCAGTGGAGCTACTTGTGCTAGTAGTTCAATTACAAAGCACAAGATGCTGGTAGCTAAAAGTTAAGTACTCAGCAACCTGAATAACACCCATATGCTCTACATAGCAGTCCAAAACTTTTTTTCTCTGTAATGGTTATTTTAAGCCAGAACCGACTAACACATAGTAATCTCCATTGGTTGTGTTGAAGCAACGGCAACCAGCTGGCCCTTGGCTACTAAAACATTCTGAATGAAATTGAAGGAACAGTAGCCCAAGGGAACACTGTTGTACCCAAAATTTTCATTGATATTGAAAATAAAATTTAGGTTAAAGATAAGTGCTCCAATGTATTGCATTAAGCAAAAGTTGTAAGGTTCAATGCAGGAAATGGGTTTGACCAATCTAACCATGCACGAACTGCTACGGAGAAACCATGCTCAAATCAGATACTGATTTCTTAAAGTTTACCAACCTGCGGAAGTCCCATTCTTGGCAGATTCAATAAGGGCAGCATCAACAATGTCCTTGAGGGCGATGGTCTTAGGACCTCTTTTAACAGCATTACAAGTAATAACAACTTTTGGTTTGCAGTCCATGATTCGTTGGGCAAGAGATTCTGCAGAGAATCCAGCAAAGACAACCTGAAAGGAAGAAAGAGGTGGGAATTTTATTCAATAATAAAGTAGAAATTAACAAAGTAATCTCTTATTATTTAGTACTTTAGTTGTTTCACATTGTTCACCCTTTTTTGCATGAAAGAAGAGGAGACATGTACCGAGTGAACTGCACCAATGCGTGCACATGCAAGCATGGCAATGGGGAGTTCCATTAGCATAGGTAAATAAATAATAACAGCATCACCCTTTCTAACACCAATGCTTTTCAGGTAGTTAGCAAGCTGCAGAGAAGATGCACCAAATCAGAAGTGATTCCAATTGATTAAGTTGTAAATATGCAGAAAATTAATATAGAGTTGAAAAGACCTGGCAAACTCGGCCGAGTAACTGGGAGTAAGTCAAAGTTGCATCGAAGCCAGGTTCATTGGATTCCCAGTAAAGGGCGATTTTATCTCCAAGTCCGGCATCAATGTTTTTATCTAAACAATTGTAGCAGATATTGGTGATGCCGCCTTTGAACCACTGGTAAGGCCCAAAAAGAAAAAAAGAAAATGATTACACTTACGTTGACCCAAATGTTAAACAAGACAAAACAAGGAAAAAGTGGAGAGCAAAAGACCTCGATCTTGATATTCCCTTTCCTCACATCGAGATTCTCGGAGTAGACATGATCTCCCCACCTCTGCTTCCAATAGAACTCCGATGATGCAATGTCGGACCAGAATCCAGCGGGATCCTCTATTGATCTTTTGTACATTTCCAGGTACTGATCTCATGATAATCATCAATCATAAATTTAATTATTCAAAACAAGCTAAATCGTAGGAAAATATATGCCCATTATTCCGTTTTCATGTACAGTTGCTGATGTAATTCAGTAGAATCATCATATTCATATCACCAGTATTAAGAAAGAAGCAAAAAAAGAATGAGAAGAAACCTTTTGTGGAGAAGGGACCAGAGCCTGGCGAGAGAAGCCATCGCTTGGGAAAACGAGGTCGTCCTCTTCCGAAGCAAGAGCCTCGCCCAAGATGACAGCGTTCAATTGAGAAATCTTGCCGGCGCCCGAAGGTAGAGATTTCATGGACTCCACATGCTTCAAATAGTTGGTGGTCGTCAGATTCTTCGGAGATGAAGACGCCATTACCAAAAGTCCTCCGCCACCGATTGATTGATGATTACCCAATCCCTGTTTGACCGAGGCTGTTTTATAACGTTGAAGATGAGTGAGGGGAATGGAAGGGGGAGAAATTGTCATGGTCATCATTTTCTTTTTCTTTTTTTTTTAATATTCTACCTATTTCTTTCTATTTTCCAGCGAATTCTAACACCAACCTGCCCAATATTATCATTATAATTGTTATTAAATTGGAAATAATTGAATCATTCGACACAAACTTGCCGAAATATATATATATAGATGTGTGTATATATATATATATATATATATATATATATATATAAAAGATAAACACTTGTTGAAAGGTTCGTTGTTTTTTAATGAAATTCAGTTATTGACTTTAATTATGCTGTTTTTTATTTTTCTATTGTAACGAAGTTGACAAAATTGACTAGCAATAATCTGCTGCTGATTTTTTTTGTGTTTTTTATTCTGAAAATTACTGTATTTAAAGTTTCTAACGAATAAACTATGGGTTTGTTTTGTTTTCCAAGTCTTCTTGAAACTGGTTTTGCCTTTGTTCATTCATTTTTTGTTTTTGTTTTTGTTTTTTAGTTCATCGGTTATTCAATTTTATGTTTTTGTACTGGTGACATGGTATCAAACAACCATTAATCTTGGGGGCTGTGATTCTCTGGCATATTAGCCTTAACCATAAATCTAGTGAAAAAAAAAAAAAGACGATTCGATCCCATAGGAAAAAGAAGATCGTTCGTATATAAATGTTAAATCTAAACACCCCAATAAATCGATTTTATGAGAATAAGATAACAGTTATGCAACATATGTTATTAGAGTTTACCTTTAATTTATTAAACTTTACACCAAATGTTCTTGTTGACGTAAGAAGGATTACTTATCTAATCACTTAATAAGATGTTAGGGTAAGATACGATGATAAAATTTACAATGTCAAAACTCTTCAAAAGAGTATAAGTAAGGTGGCAACCTTAATGATAGGAGTAGGTAGGATAGTTGCTATGTCACGTGAGATTGGATGGTAAGAAAATGTCATGTCAAGTTTTTCAAAAGAGTAGGCAATGTACTTTAATTCCACGTTAGATAAGAAACAGAAGTTGTCAAAGGGCTCTAAAAAAATAGGTATCATGTGTTGGATGGTGAGAAATTGTCTTGTCAAATCTTTTAAAAGGGTAAGTAAAGTATTTTAATCTTACATTGAATAAGAAAATAAAAGTTACCAAGCACTCTAAAGAAATAAATAAGATGTTTCAATTGCATATCGAATAAAAAAGAAAAAAAGTTGCTTGATATATAAATATTGATGCTACACACTTTAATAGTTACTTTTATAGGGAAAAAGTAATGATAAATATATTTATATATTTATTTATTTAATTTAAGAAGTACAAATTAAAGATAACAAAATAACATATACTCAACAAATTTTGATTTATTTCAATATGATAGGGGTGATTTAAAAAAAAAATAGTATTGGATCGAAAGCAAATTTTAAGATTTTATGTCTCAACTCGTTTCAAAATATCTACAAAAATATTTTTATTATTTATTTAATTTTATATTTTATATATTATATTAATAAATTATTATTTAATATCTTAATTTAAGATATTATCTTAAGAAAAATTATATCTTACTTACATATATTTTCATCCTCTATTTCTAATATTTTGCCAAGTGAACATTGTAATGCAATTATCATTCATTTGCCATGTTAGATATTATTTTTATTTTTGTTATGAAGCTTTATTCATTTAACATGTTGGATGTTATTCTTCTTTAACCATGAATGAATGTACTTTGACCATTCATAAACTTAGGCATTCATGAATTTATGATATTCATAAACTCAATTAATTATGGATAATTTACTTCATCTTTCGTGTTATTTAAATTTTAAGCCTAGATTCATATTTACTATTAGTTAATTATGAATTAAATTCAAATTAAATAAATCTAACTATTCACAAACTTAATCGATAATGAATCTAATTAATTATAAATAAATTTTCATTATCTTTCGTGTCGTTTAACTTTTAAATCTAAATTCATTTTATTATTAATTAATTATGAATTATATCCAAATTAAATGAATCTAGTTATTCACAAACTTAATTATTTATGAATTCATGATATTCATGAATCCAATTAATTGTAGATGAATATATTAGTGTTTAATGTAATTTAATATTAACATTTTTATTAAATAATATAAATACATACGAATCAAACAAATATATTAAATTCGTAGCAACGTGTGAATTATGACTTAATATATATATAATTAAGGTATAGTTTATTTTAAAAAATAATATTTTTAAGAATATTATATTAAATTAAAATCATTAATAGGATGCATGTTACACATATATATATTTGAATGAAAATAAATATAAAAAAGTAATAATTCGATTTCATATACTTAATCAAATCGAGGCGAGTAAAAATTTATCGTTGTCATTCTTAGTAAAAATGATTATAGATGATAATGAGTCAAGTCAAAGTAAGTTTTTGCTCGTCCAACTTTTAATAAAATTTATCTGACTCTAATTTAAAATTGAGTTATTATTATTTTTTAATTAACTCTGAATTAACATGTATATATATAATGTGCATCTAACTTGAAATTAATTTAATAATTTTAATTTAGTATTATATTCATAAAATATTATTTTTTAATATAAATTATATTTTAATTACATATAAATATAATATTTCATTAAATTAAGATATTAAATAGTAATTTTATTAAAATATACATATATAAATATAAAATTAAATAAATAATAAAAATATATATTTTATATATATCTCCAACGAATTGGGTGTAGTATCTAAAACTTGCCTCCAATCCGATTTCTTTTTTTTTTTTTTTTGAAAATATCCGACAACTTGACTCGTGATTTTAGCAACAAATTGTCCCTATCCAATTGGGATGGATGCAAACTCATCTATGCACTGTTTTGATATCCAATAAATGATAGCTTGTTTAATGACTTCTATACGTGGGAAGTGCTGGAGACATGGAAGAGTTATTCTCTGTAACTTGTATAATGACACCTTTATATGTGGGAAGTGGTGGAGACATGGAAGAGGTGATGGAGACGTGGAAGAGTCATTCTCCCTTTAAAACTCGTCCAACAATAACTCAAAATGAAACATCACATTAAAAAAGTTCTAAAAGGTACAAGGCATTGTCATGCGTTCATTCAGCTTTGTCCAAGGCTATTTTCACAATAATAAAAATTTGTAAAACGACAAAAGTGCATGGGACAAACTTACGAAGTGACCATAAATAATTAAGCAAACAAGTCTCGTCAGCTTGTTCAACCAATTTCAAATTATGAGATGAAAGAAACAGACTGTCAAAGAATTTATCAATAAACTCACAAAGATGATAGATAAATCAATTGAAGCTACTTTTAGAAGATATATCAAATACTAGGTTAGTGCAAAAAATCTTAGTGTCACAGAGAGATTTGAAGAAAATTTTATACTATATAATTAAATCAATCCTTTTAGAAATTATTATATTACTTCCCTAATTATTTGACCATTGATTGACGTGTATTTAAAAGTATAATAATATTTTTGTTTTTATATTTGATTAAAATTATTATAATATTTTTTTCATCGTATTTATAAAATTTTTTTATCATAATTGATTAAAATTATTATAATATTTTTTTATTATAATTATGAAAATATCTCTTTTATCGTAATATACCAATTATAATGAAAAGTAATCTCTTAAAAATTACTATATTATCCCTATAATTATTTGACATTTGTCCTAAAGTACAATAATACCTATGCTCCCTAATCTATTAAAATTATTATAATATTCCTCTTACTATAATTAATCAAAATTACTATAATGGCTCACCATAATTATGAACTAACATGTGATATGTTTTTTTAAAATTTATTATAATATCCCTATTAAATTATATATTAAATTTTATCATAATATAAAATTAACTATATATTAAATTACTAAATACCGTTACCATTATTTTATGGAGATTACATAAAACTTAACTATATGTTAAATTACTATAATAAAATAAATCTATACAATATATTAAAAATAATCTCATAAGAAAATGATTATAATGCCTCTCTAATTAAATGATAAGTAACTGACACATTTCCAAATTTACTATAATGCATTTCTTTCCATAATTAGCAAAAATTACTATAATGCTCTCTTATCATAATTATAAAAATAATTCTTCTAACATAATTGATTAAAATTACTATAATGCCCCTCATATCATAATAATATAATTGCTTTCTACCATGATTGACCACAATTACTATAATGCCTCTCTTACGATAATTACGAGAATGCCTCTCTTACCATAATTCTTCAAAATTACTATGTATATCTATTAAAACACATATTAAAATTTATTAAGATATAAAATTAATTAAATTTGAAATTACTAAAATACTTTTGCATTGTTTCATTTGGAATTTAACATGTGGCATTTTATAAAAATTATTATAATACTCCTATTAAATTATATATTAAATTAGTTACATAAAACTAAATTAAATATTAAAATTACTACAAATCTATACAATATGTTAAAAGTAATCTCCTCTGAAAATTACTATAAAATAATAATAAGTATATTAAAAATAAAATTTGACAAAAATTATTAGCCCTAGCGTATCGAAGGCAAAATACTAGTCTAATTGAAAGTTTGCAACTAGTAGTATAGCTAGTAGTGCAGCATATTAAAGTCTTATACATTAATTAACCTTTGAATAAGTTGGCATGTTATTAAAATTGGGTTAGTTGGTATGTCATTGGATCTAACGTTTGAAGGTTCTAGGTTCGAAGGAGTTTGTGCGCATAATTTAATCTTCAGCTATATAATTATTAAGGTATGAAAATTCAAGGATAGATTAAGAATTAAGAAAAAAAGTCTAAGTAATATTTAGAATATGGAGGTTAAGGGTAGATTAGAAACTTAAAAACATCTTATTCTAATGCTTTTGTACATGAAATCTAATTGAAAGTTTGATGAAAAATTTATTTGTTTGAGCTTGGACTTTAATATGCTTTATTAGATGAATTATTTCACTTTTGTTTTGTTTTGGAAAACAATATTATAGAGATTTAATAATATTTTTTAAAAGGATTTTGTTAATTAGTATTTACTGGTAAGGCTAGTTGATATTTATTTGTAATGATATTTTTTTATTAGGTTTAATTGGAATGAAAGAG